TCTCTCTGTTTTGTGTTTGTGCGTCTTTCTCTATCACTCTCTCTCTCTCTCTCTCTCTCTCTCTCTCTCTCTCTCTCTCTCTCTCCCTATATATAAAACGGGTTTTTCTCTGTTGGGCTTTTTTTTCGAGTTTTGACGCCCAATCAATCAAATTTTCGTGCTTTGTGGATTTAAGTTTTCATCATATGAGATTGGATTCCAATTCTGCAAAGTGGGTATGCATCTGTAATTTTGTTTTTGAGGGTTGGTGCTTGGTGGTGGTGATATCGAAACAATCGAAATGGGGAATGTGAATGGGAGAGAAGATGGGGGTGGAAGCCCATCAGCGGCTGAGGAAGAGAGTGGTGGTGGGAGCGTGCAGGAGGGTCATGCCCATGGCCGTGGTGTTAGTGGTGGCGGTGATGGGTCGTCTGAGTTGATGGGTCAATCGCCTCCTCATAGCCCTAGGGCCACTCACTCCCCTTTGATGTTTACTCCTCAGGTCAGCTCCTTTCTTTCCTCATCTTTTGTTTATTTATTCCTTTTCAAGTTAGTGTTTTTGTTATTTTTCCATGGAGATTTAGATTTTACTCCTGTGATATCAAATTGATGTTTCTTAAAATTGGGGACTTTTGTGATTCAACTTAGAACTGGTTGTGTGAATTATGCTGTGCAATTACTTTTTCAACTTAAAATTGATAACTTTCTGACATACCACCTAATTCATATCAGTTTCTCTTAGAAGCTCACTAGTTGCTTGAAGCAAATTCAAAACATAATTTCTTGTTTCTTTGTTTCTGTACTTAATCTGGAAATCAGAAAGAAAGGAAAAAAAAAAAAAAATGCAATCGGTTTATCATCATGCAATCTGCTTATCTTTGATATTGGCTATGTGGTTCTCTGTGAGAAGTCCGTATTTTGGATCATGGAATTAGCCAAAAAAGGAATACAAGTGGTCAACCGTTGGGTGACTGATGACAGGAAACTAAGTAATAAATTCTGATTCCAAATCCCCCCTCCTCTCTATCTTTCTCTCTCTCCAATTCTGAAATTGGAAAATACGTTTTACATGAATCTATCCCTTGGTGCACTACGAGGCTCTAATATTTGGATTACCAACCTATTGGTAATCTGTTGTTCTGCTTAAGTATATTATGTATATGATGAGCTCAGTCAATGCCCTGAATTACGTTCCTGTTACCTGCACCCTTGCCTTTTGTTCATACTGATGTATTTCCTTATTTTTTATCTATGGAAATCCATGATTTTCATCCTTTTGTTCAACTTTTTCCAGGTCCCTGTGGTTCCCTTACAAAGACCAGATGAGATACACATACCAAACAACTCATGGATGCAAACTTCAGGGTTTGAAGACATGTGCTGTGAGCAAGGTATTCCGACTATGATTACATGGAGCTATGGTGGGAAGGATGTAGCTGTGGAGGGATCCTGGGATAACTGGAAGACAAGGTTCCCGAAAATAAAAATAAAAATAGTTTAAGTTTTAAATGTAGTTTACACTACCTGAACTCTTACCTAAGTTCTTGGTTCTATCTTGTTTTTACAGAATGGCTTTACAGAGATCAGGGAAAGACTTCACGATCATGAAAGTACTGCCATCCGGTGTTTACCAGTATAGGTTTATTGTTGATGGGCAGTGGAGGTTCTCTCCTGATTTACCCTTGGCCCAAGATGATGCGGGCAATTCTTACAACCTTTTGGACTTGCAGGTAATGATCGTCATACCTTCCTAGGTTGATACGTGTGTCGAATGAGTGTGACAATCCTTATAAAACACTTGCATCTGTTTATTGATCTCATTCATAAAAATGAAACTCCTAGTCAGATCAGATGAGTAAGATAACCTTCTCTTGGGACTCAATCACGGACTAATGAGTATAAACTGCTTTTAAAAGTTTCCTTTATCAGAAAATAAGAGCTTATCTCAGAATAGATATTATACGGCATTGCATGATGCTTGGTATAATAACATTATTCAGAAATTGTATTGCATATGAATCTGTTAAAGCATTCATTAAACTGCGACCTTTTTTAGCATACTGTCTTAGTTCTGTTTATGTAAATCCTACTTTTATGCAATTTGTTTTCCTTTAGATATTTAGTGATTATAGTAGACACTCTGGAATATGGATAATTTCCTTGATATTTCTTCTATGGTGTAAGATTCATAAGATTTCCGTCATTATAGTCTAATTTCTTCAATATCAATACTTGTCGAGCAGATCCTTAATATTTTTATCAATGTTGATATTAATACGTTCAACTTAGCTTAGCTGTTAAATTCATGTTTGCATTTTAGGTAGAGTGCTTGTTCACTTTCACTGTGTATCCAGTTTTTTATTCATAAACTTCTCTTACCAAATTTCTGTTTTTCGAAAGATTTTTTTTTCCTTTTTTGGAAATGATGTTCAATAAGGTTCCGGGAGATCTTTGTCTTTTCTTTTCCAGTGAGTTTTAGTTAGTCCTTTCTTTCATGTTTTGGATTTTATATAGAGAATAATCTGGGCAGCCGATGCCTGTGACATAAAGAGTTTCAGTATATGGGAGAAGGATCAAATTACACCCCGTTTAACCATTTTTTGCTACACCCCTGTACTTTTAGTTTGATCTATTGGATTATAATTTCTCCTTATGCTTGTCATGCTCACAGGTTTTGAAGATAATCAGAAATTTATAACACCTTCATTCATTTATAAAGAAAAGCTCAAAATGATGTTTTTTTTATTGTTTTAAAATAGGCAAGGAGCATGAGTTTATGGGTCAGATACTAATTGAGATTTAATTCATGTAAAATTCGGCATGCATGCTAAGCACTAGAAGGATGGTTAATCCAATGGCAGGTTTTTAAAAACACTGATCTCAATGATACCAGGTTTAGCTTTTGAACCTTCTACTTCATGTACTCCTTCAATTGAAATTACACATTTAAATGAGGATTTTTAATCACCGTGTTGATTTCCCTTTTCTTGTATCTTTTTCTGAATTAGTGCTGTCAGTTCTTAGTCTCTAAAATGGCATGGCGGAAATATACAACATGCAAGCAGAATCATGCACTTGCATTTTCTCATTGCTGGGCTATCTGAGTCTGAATAATAGTATGACAACTTGTTGGAATAGTATGTGCGAGTCCACGAAGCTGATTGATATTATTGGTTTCTTCTACAGGATTATGTTCCAGAAGACATTGGCAGCATTTCTGGTTTTGAACCTCCCCAGTCCCCTGACTCAAGTTATAACAACCTGCAGCTTGGATCTGAAGATTTCGCAAAGGAGCCGCCATTGGTTCCCCCACACCTACAAATGACACTGCTCAATGCGCCGTCATCTTACATGGAGATGCCGCCTCCTTTGTCAAGACCTCAACATGTGGTACTCAATCACCTTTACATGCAGAAAGGGAAGAGTGGCCCATCTGTGGTGGCACTTGGTACAACAGAGAGGTTTATAGCGAAGTATGTTACAGTGGTTCTCTACAAGTCCTTGCAGAGATAAGCATACACAGAATGTTTGTCTGGACACTACAGACCCCTTTATGTAGTTAGTTTATATAAATTGAAAAGTTCAATGCCATTTTCATGGCTTCGGTATGTTGAGGAAGGATTATCAGGTGAAACTTCAAGATTGTATTTTCACACAATTCCATTGCTAAATGACCATTGATCCAGCTGCTTTTGCATACTGATTCTTACTTGCACTTACTGGTTGTTCATTTATTTTGTTCAAGGGAAATGTGTATCCGATATGATCAAATTACTTAACGTTGGCCCTTATTTAGTCTGTTACCCGAGGTTGCCTACCTTTTGGCAAAACTTGGGAATCACCAGACCCCCGTTTTTTACAGACTTGTCAAAATGAACTTACAACCGAACAACGAAAACATGAATCAAAAGAAACGAAAGATGAAAATCGTATTTGTGGGAACCTGCACATTCACTGTTTTTATATATAAATTTAAAAAGTTTGGTTTCTAACAGGAGAAGTATGCCATGCTAATGTGCCTTTGATGATCCACATCTCAGGAACTCTGGGAAGGTAGAGAAGAAATTAGTATGATAAAATATGATAAAGTGATCAGAATGAAGGATCACTACTTTCAATGGAGATAATGAAAAATCACTTCACCTTTTGCTCTGCTATTCAACCCCATCCTGGCTGAGGATGTCAAACATATTTTATTGTCTAGGAGGAATTACGCTTACTTGTGCATCAACAAGTTGGGAGGCTATTCAAAGATAAACATAATTTTTTTTAAAGAAAGATGAGTAACAAAAGAGAAAGAAGAATGGCATGTGCAGAGATGGCAAGCATAGCTACTTATCTATTGCCAATTCAAAGATAATTAACTGCCATACATTTCATCTAAACGAGAAATTTATGCTATAACAGAACATAAAAGTAGAACAACCAATCCTTCCATTGTTTACTACACAAGCTCGTACGAACTCTGGCACTTGTCCTCTTCCTCCACAACGACAACCTACCCTCCTTCCTTAGCTTTGAATCTTGAAAATGAAATACTATATCTCTTTGTTTCTTTTTTCTGTGGCTATTTAAAAAACTGGACATCCTTCAACCTTAATACCTGGGGCAGTGGGGCATGTTGCCAAAGGACAATGGTCAAGTTCAGTCCCCCACCATTTCACATTGTAGTTATTGTTCTGCAAGGCAAAGAAGAGTAGGACGCCCATAAATGCTGTCCCAGCATCCAACGCTGCAGATAGGACATAGTTGTATTTCTGCCACCAGCGCTTGTGATATTTGAACACGAAATAGTTGAAGATACCTCCAGTGATGAGCCAGCTTGCTATATTGGTGGGAGTTGCAGGCGGCATCCCGGCAAAGCCATAAGTAATGACTGGCATGTTTATCAAGGGAATCCATTTCTTGTCCGGGAAGATTTTGCTCAATATCCAAATTGGAACTGGCAAGAAAGCTCCGACAATGAATAGCCATACCAAGTTCCTATACAGTCCTCCAGGTCCAAACAGTCGCCTTGGTCCAATCAAGCCCCAAATAACAGAAGCATCAAAGGTGACTTTGTACTTTGGACAAGTCCAGGGGCTGTTTGGATGGTGTGCATCAATATCGCATAAGTTGTCAATGCTCTCCAACATCCACCATGCAACTGCGAGGTTCACAATACCAGCAACCAGAGTTCCCACCAGCTGGAGACAAACGAACAAAGGAAGGCAATGTACTGGAATATCAGTTTAACATAACTTTGACACAAAAAGGGGAATACCATTTAGGAACAGAAACAGAAACAGAAATGCCAAGTATGACTTTCTGTGATGAAAATACCTGAGCTGTGTACATGCAACGAGGTGGAATCTTCATATAGTGCCCAAGTTTAAGGTCAGATAGGAAAGAGAGCGCATGCACAGTGCTGATTCGTCCATAGATTTTGAACAACAAGTTCGCAATTGGTTTTCCTGGTAGAATATACCCAATAAGGAATTGTGCTATGATGTCAAATCCAGGTTGCTGCACGAAAGCCACAAGATGTGTTTTTTAGTGGTTAGAAAGGTATTTCACAGTTGTTTGTGCACCAGTAAAGATGAGGAAAGAAAGAATCAAGAAATCATAGAATTACTTGGTTGGTGGTTGCTTGAATAACCCCAACTGGGAGGGTGACAATGAAAGACAAGACAAAGCCAAATAGCAACCCCCACCACGGCAGCTGCACAACTTCTTTCCATACAAAGCACATTAGCAGGGACAGGGCAATGCTCCCTCCTAATAGGATGAGGAACCACCACTGAGGCACTTGTTTGTAACGCTGCATCAGTTTTTCATGGATATCCACTTTCACATTCTTCATTGCTGATCTGCTTTGCTTCAAAATAGCACTAGGAAAAGGAAAAATCCAGGATAACTTTGTCAGTTGAGTATGAACAATTTACTCCACGTATCCAAGGTTAGGTAACTTGCTCTGCAGATGGCAACAAATTAATAACAGTAGTATGAGTGGAGAATGGAACTTAAAGTTTAATTGAAAGTACCTGCCATGAAACAGTGCCACATGAACGAGGGTTGCTGAAAATCTTGCAAATCCTGATCCAATGGATAAAGCGAAAAGCGGGCTAAGATAGAGCTTGCCGTAACTATTATAGGCATCAATGTTAAGATCAAACTGGGGTGTCAAGATCTTGGTAGTGTCATATTTCTGGCCACTAGAGGTGAATAGCTGGTTGGAAAATATAGGGAACTTTCGAGCATCGAAAGTGTTAAACTTCCAGTAGCAAACAGGGACAATGACATAGATGAACAAGACAAATCCAACCCCAACGTTGAGAATGGAAGTCCAGGGAGTGACTAGGGGGCTGCCATGATAAGCTGAAATCCCAGCCCAATCAAGGGTGAAAGCACCAACCCCAAGTCCATGGTAACCTGAGCCAATTTGCTGAGCTGTGATACTGTGTGGCCAAGCCCAGCAGACCCATGAGAAGAAGGTCAAGATCGGGAAAAGGTAGCCAGGGAGTGCATAATAAGCAAAGCTTGCTGTCATGGCAATCAAGAAAAACTGCATCCGTGTAAGGCCTTTTGCTTTATTGTCCTTTTCATGGAGTGCTCTGTGAAAAGTTTCAACACAAACAGCAACAAAGTCATTTTGATGAGATCAAATTCAAGATTATATTACTAGACCAATAACAACATACATTCAAATTCTCTACTTTAAGTTTATGCCATTGCCAACTAAAAGATCACTTTTGCTTTCTTTCGTTCTCCATCAGAGCAAGTAATTCACCATTTAAGAAAGGCGTATCTTCCACTTGACCTTATTTATTATAAAGATTACAATTGTAGCGTTATGCGTTGTGAGGGAATATTACTCCAAGCTGGCAAGACAGAGAGCATGAAATGAAACAGATTCTCAACCATTGAACATGCAGCAGCGCTTGGCTTATGACTTCATCACTGACAGGGAAACCGAAAACTTTTACCACAAACATCTAAAACGCAAATTAGAACAGGATTCAACCATTATGGCATCACCCTCCAATTTTATGTTGTTTTGACGAGTCAGTTTAGCAGTGAGTTGGAGGAGGAGAAAGGTTTTCAATTTTAAGCTATTTTATTATCTTACTTTTATCTCTCAATCTCAACAACTAAACGGAACATTGAATAAGGAAAAGCAGAGGACAAAGTCATACCTAAACAGAGAAACCTGAGCAAGGTTGGAAGGCCACCACATTTCAACGGGGTCAACCAGGAACCTCCTGAGAATCCCTGCCCATCCATACCCCAATATCTGCACATCATCAAAAACCCAGAAATTCAAACAAAAATTGCAGCAACTATTCACAAATCTTTGGCTTCTTCATGTTTGCTAGCCTCTATCCACAAATATAATTTTAAAATAAAATAAAAACTTTTTTCTGAATTTGAAAGGCTATTTCTTTATTAACTAAAATTGCCTGACTATTATTATATATTTTTTCTTTTTGGAGAACCCAAAACACTGATTTATTGAAATTGAATGCACGGCAGCGTGATAAGGCCATTCATGGTCATGGGTATGTGCTATATATAAAAATTTCCAAAATCTCTACTCAAATATAAAATTCAAAAGATTACTAGAATGCGTTTTATTTTATTTTATTTTTTTAAAAAAAAAAAAAGAGAAAGAAAAAGAAAGTGAAACCTTCCAAGTTCAGTGAAAAGAAAAGAAACGAAAAGAAGAATTAAAAGACTGAAGAGAAAGTTGAGAGAATGGAAGGGTTGTGGTTGTGAATTAATTAACCTGAGAAGTCAAGACGATGATGAGAGCAAGAAGAAAACTCAAGCTCTGCTTGTAATAGGCCTTCATAATGGTAATGGCACCAATTGAATAGGCATCACCCCCTCCGTAAGAAATCCCACAATTGGCAAAAATGGTGATGATGACATGTTCCTTCATGTTGAAGGGCCCAGGATTCAAGCTGAACCTCCACCCCAGGAGGCTGTACTCGCGCTTTGGGAGGGTGGAGGCCATGAGCTTGCCGATGGGCAGAGAAGCAATTTGCATGAGAATGGCAGAGATGCTGAGGGGCTGCGTACGGAAGGTGAAGAAGGTGTTGAGGAAGATTAAGATGATGCATGTGGTTAAGCCCAAGAACCAGGCCCTGAACGTCATGACAGGCATTGAAGGGTCGTCCGTCTCAGGCACCACCAAGGCCACCTCTTCTATGGCGCATCTCTCATGATCTTCACTGCTCCCATTAGCCGCCTTCTCGGGGTCCATGTGGTTCTTGGACGCCATTGAAACCACTCTCTGTTTTTCCCTGTTACTCTCTTATCCGGGAAACTGAGAAAGAGAAAATAGCTGAAAAGAAACAAGTAGTCTGTCTGTGTCCGAAGACTGATGTGTGATTATGTGTTAGAGGCTTACAGGTCCCGTACTTGCTTCGGGTTGGAATTTAGTGTCGAGTAATAACACCAAGACGTAGTTACACACATATATATACACACTGACTTTTGCCAATTAGATGACAATTATGCCCTTAATTTCCTTTTAATGATGTCGCAAAGGTCTCACTGTCCTCGTTCTAGCATACAACAACAAATTTAATTGAAACTCCCGTTTTTGCCTGAAATTGAATTGAATTGGATATATACTTATTATAAATTAGAAGAAATGTCCATATGCTAATAATAATATACAATATTGGCTATGCGACATGCATCCTCCAACGA